ATTGTATGAAACGGCGCCATGTAAGGAATTATAAAGTTCATCCGTATTTATTATATACAATACGAATTCTCGTGGTTTGTGGGAAATTTTTCATGGATTTCTTTACTAGACTTACTCGCTTTTTTGAACTTTGAAAGACATTTTAGTAATTTAAAGACTGTTTTGTATATGACAATGACTGCAGCCTACAGTATTAAATATTGGTTATTGTTCAACTAAATTTAGAATAGAGTCACAGGTACATAGTACGGCAGAATATTGAAAACGAAACTGAAATATAGTACATGCGGCAAAAGCTTCGAGCGAAACTTCGTTTGCACGTTTACAAACAAGCAATACTCATGCATTTGATATTCTGTACCGCCCGACATAATATATTTATCCTTGCCCACGAGAACAATTATTTAAAAAAACAACAATACAAGTAAAAAGTAAAGATCGTAACCATCCATCACCCCGAATTTAATGCGAAACACGTGAATTTATAGAGAAACACGTGCGTTGCTTCATAGCTCGTATTCCAGCGTGGGGTTCCGGGTGTTCCGGATGGGGTTCCGGGTGTTCCGGGAGGGGTTCCGGGTGTTCCGGGAGGGGTTCCGGGTAGGGTTCCGGGTGGGGTTCCGGGTGGGGTTCCGGCTTTTACAGACACCCAATCAAAAGTACTTGTCAAACAAATTGGATAAAGAAATAACAAATTCTTCCGAGTTTATCACCATTGAACTTCAAGTCTAACCTAAATTAAAATTATTCATGTAGTTCTTTATAGTGTTTAAAAAAAGAAAAAGTCATGGGAAAAGTAGACAAATATCGGCTGCGTGCCTGGCCCCCGGCCAAATAATTAATTCTACTCGACAGCTTCAGTTTTCAAATTCGTTAATACAACTGGTAAAACACAATATCATGCAAACAAACACATACGATAACAAAAGTAAACTTGCCTTTTTCTCTCCGAAGTCTTTTAAAAGTCAGGGAACGACGATTTTCAGCTTGTACGACGAAAATAAAGCAGGCACATTAAAAATCCAACCCATCCTAAAACCGGCCATTTTGACAACTTTCCGAATTTCAACTTTCCCGCCGTTGGCGGAAACTGCTCTGTGATTGGTGGATTTGGCTTCAGTGCCACTGATCTATCTCGGTGAGTGAAATGATATGAACGGATGTGAGGTATACAATTAAAATTTAAAAACTTTATTAAAAATATTTACAAAAATTATTAGATTATGTCTTCAAAATCTTCACGTGCATCTCTGAGAAATTTAGTGTTGAGTCCTGAGCTACGTGACTTGATGACTCAAAATACTTTTCTGTGCAGATTTCTTGCGAGTCTCGTGCAAAATTTTATTCCCAGATAATGAACTAAATTTTCTTGCATCGTTGACTTCGAGATTTCCTGGAATTTAAGAATAGAAGTTAGTACATCTTTAATAAAAACATGCTGCAGTAGTATATTGGTACATACCATTGCAAACTTTATAAATGCTCGTCCTCCATCTGCCATTAAATTTGTCAGGTTTGGAAGGAGTTTGTTCCATCTTATGATGATCTTGGGAATAGGTTGTTAAAAAATCAATCTAAAATTACAGTACAAAAAGACTAAGAAAACCTTATTTTATATAGTGGGTTCCAGTGAGCATCTCATGCTGGTAATGCCTGATCACCTCATTCTATGGCCTGATGAAACTCGAAAATATTTAGTAATATTTGAAAATGGGTCATTCCAGAAAACATCCTTACCTCCGCATAAATGAAATTGAAAGTTAAGCCCTCTACCCTCTTCAGATGTCCTGATACACTTACTATTATGAGAATCAAATTTTTTTCCCTCCCCCTCCAGATACTCCCCTCCCCCTCCCAACACTCCCCTCCCCCTCCAGACACTCCCCTCCCCCTCCAGATGGCTGAAATTTCCTCTGTGGGGGGAGTGTACTGTGGATGGACCCAATATAAACCTACATTATTAGAACAGTCATGTCTTGTACAATTAACCATGTCGCCTCCCGCCATTTGATTCATCCATCTGGCTCGGTCAACATGAGCAGCCATTGCCTGTCTAGTGTGAGTTTTAAAGCAGTCGTTGTTGGTTGTGTTTGTGTGCAACTGAGAATTGATGCCAACATCAAATTGTGAAGTGTGCAACGAGGGACATTTCTTGAATTGCTTCACAGGACGTAGATCAGGTTTCCCATTGAAACTCTAGAATATCAGGAAAAGAATTAGACTTACTACATGTGTACTATATCTAAGTTCACCAGATTGATATGGTTAGTTAAGCCCATTTTCCACCAGGCGAATTTGCTCGCGCAAAGTGACCTTTTTCTTTGTCAGCATTGTTCATTATGCCAGCAAAAGCAAAGCAGCTGACAAAGGAAAATTCGCTTCACATGAACAAATTTGCCCAGTATAAAACGGGTTTTACACAATCTAAGTTTTAGTGTAATATTTATTGTTTATAATAAAATATTCTAATTAACGCAATTAATATTTAATAGGTACATCGAAAACTAATAAACACGCTTTTAATATCAAAACATTACTGTAATAACTATAAAGTTTAACCAAAACTTACATCTCGCATAGTACTTGTATACTTGCTATCCTGTCCTCCTGACGACAAGCTTAAAGTTGTCCTATGCAAAGGTCTAATGCCACGACGTCCGGGACTAATCGTATTGGGGACGGACCGACGTAAAGCGGGCAGCCCATAACGCTGCTGTTTTCTCTCGTTATACGGTTCATCCGATACAACAGTCAAATAGTTTGAAAGATTTGTTAGTACTGTGTTAGTATCTCTGCCCTGACTATTCATTATTGTAAAGTCGAGCCATAAAATAAGAAAATATTTTTATCAGCTGTCCATCGGTATTCGCGATTGTTGTCATGGTGATAAGAACGCTGAGCCCACAGTTTGATGGAAGTGTGAGCAGCGGAAATTTTTTGTCATGGCTATTACTTCGTGTAGTAGATAACATCGAACTGCCGACGTTGGCATCGAACGATGAACAGTCGTGGATAAAAAACATTAGAGACCTTAAGATTGACGTTTACGGCAAACGTCAAACCGCTAGCGAAGTTTTTGATTTTACAACTCTATTATAATAGCTTTTACACCAGTTTTGAAATATGTTAAATTTATTAAACTTGTGCTCTTTAGCAATGATTTAAGAAAGCAAACTTAACCACTAGTCATGCCATTCACCAAAGGTGGATGCGTTTGGCGTATAGATTTCATGCTTGAACTGCTACGAGGGCTTGTAGTCGTTAAAGCATGAAATTTATACGTCAAACGTCAACTTCAAACGCCAAATCTTCATTTACTGCTTTGGTAAATGGCATGACTAGTGGTTAATTTTCTTTCTTAAATCATTGCTAAAGAGCAGAAGTTTAATCAGTTTAACCACAGGTTTAACATATTTCAAAACTGGTGTAAAAGCTACAATAATAGAGCTGTAAAATCAAAAACTTCGCTAGCGGTTTGACGTTTGCCGTAAACGTCAATCTTAAGGTCTCTATTGTCGATTCTCACGTGAAATTTCAATGATTGTCAAATGCATTTGAAGGGTTTCAATGTCTTTATCTGCGATTGTTCATACTTAGATGGACATAGATATTTTATTTTTCCATTATATAATTAGACATTGACATTAATATAGGAGTAAGAAAATTAAACTAAACCAGTCTTTTATTTGTACATAAATCCGTCTTCTATTTGTGGCCAAATACATAACTGCAGGTTGACCACCATCTGCTGGACGACAGTGCTTGGTGAAACCTACCTAGACTGAGTTAAATTACACAGAGTGTTGTAGTAAAGTATACTTAGTCACAAATTGTTCGACATTGTCACCAGAGAGAGATTTCATTGCTCGCCAATGTAACTTACTGACCATCTCTGAATCACCATCTGTTAGTTCCAACTTGATGTAATCCAACCAAAGATCTGTGGCGTATGAAATAAGGTTAATGACTGACAGACTAACTAATTAAACAAGTAACGCACCTGTAGCCCACATCAACTTTGACTAACATACCTGGCGTTTCACAACCAAAACTTTCTAGCGCTGTTTCATACAGTTTCCGAAGGTGTCTAAGGCTTGGGACTGCCTAAAAGTGGAGTCATTAAATGAAGCAGTGACTTAATTTCCACATTTAGCAATTTTATCCTTCAAACGTAGATCAAAACTTACTTGTGACTGTTCAATGCTTAGACATTTTTGGTAAAACGAGACGGACACTGAATTATCTTTGCATAACCTAACACGAATGAATAAACAAGGCGTTTTACAAAATGAAAATTCTCCGATTCTCATAGAGATATGAAAACAGTATTGAGTATTATTGTACAGTACCTTTTATAAAGTTGTCGTGCGCTTTTTATACCATCTTTTAAAACAACCACCTCGAGATAAGATTCATTAATTTTCGTGATTGCTTCATTGTTAGTGCACACTGTTATACAGCGCTGGAGAGAAAATGTACAACTGATGAAACTGCAGGACTATAGGGAGAACAGTTTAGAACTGATAAAGCTGTCCAAGCGTAAAAAGGTTTGTTTAGTTTAGGAACTTACATTATATACACGTTGTAGTGCTTCTGATGCATCGTGAGACATCGAAAGTTCCAGCCAATAATTCCACATCGACATAACATCCTGGGAAAGAAAATGAAAGGTTACAAATTATCAAAAGATATGAACTAAACTAACTTTATATATGCTGGCTCTATCTGCGCCATCAAGGATTGATCCAGTGTTACTACAGGAGGAAACCTAAACTAACCTATAACTTTATTTATACTGTAGCTGTATCACTTCTAAACTGTTCTTCCAAGAGGTCCAGTAAGGGTCATCTCTTATCGATCCAGTGTTACTACAGGAGGAATCCTAAACTAAACTATAACTTTATTTATACTGAATAGCTCTATCACTTCTAAGCTGCTCTTCCTAAAGGAGCAGTAAGGGTCATCTCTTATTGATCCAGTATCACTATACTAAACTATACTTTTATTTATACTGAATAGCTCTATCACTTCTAAGCTGCTCTTCCTAAAGAAGCAGTAAGAGTCATCTCTTATTGATCCAGTGTTACTATACAAGGAAAAACCGGAAAAACCCAACGTAGTACTGTATGAAAGGAATGAAAGGTGCAAAGTTTAATATTTCTTACGTGATCTGAATCAAGCTGGCCCACTGCTTCGCAAAATTCATCGAGAAAATCCGCTGTCAAACCACTGATATCTGAAGGTAATTAAACATACTGTAAGCATTTACATATAACCATTATTATAAATCGCGCTACTTGCTCAAAATGTTTCACTATATACTACTTTACCTGATAACTGTAAAATAAAGTACTGTTTCCATAACATGACAGAACTGGGGAAAACCTTCAACGACAGTTTACAAACTTTCGAAGCTTCTTTAGAGTTGCCATTTTGTAGAAGTGTTTTAATCTATAATAAAAACATAATTCAGGTAATTCAATGAATGATCATTTTATTAAACAATCCGAGGTTGACCGTTTTTAGGTGAAACAGTTTGTCTATACCAAAAGAAAAGTATATTGTAGACCAGGTGTGTTAGACAATATTCACCCATAATAAATATTTTTCTGCAGACAGCTTCTTCGCTTTATTAGCTGATTGGAATAACTGCAGAAGGTCGGTTACTTTCTGAAACAAAGAAGAATAAAAAAAGTATAAAAAAGAACGACTAATGAAAGAAGACAAAACCATCGACTACACACAGAAATCATTCAATTTATTCACTGAACCTTTTGAAGGATTGAACCAGAATATCTTTCCACGTCACTGAAACAAGCTTCCATGTAATAATCCCACATCATCTCTAAAAACCAGAAGTGTATAAAAATCAACTATCTGATGGCAAGTGTACAAATTGAAACGAAAGTGCATTGATGGGTCATCTTCGGACCTATTGACACTGATAGGAACAAGAACACTTAATTGGTAAATCTCGCCATTTTATTTCTTTGCCACCAAATGCAAGACTATTACATATAATGAAAAGAATTAACATTATTTTTTCCCTCTGATAACGACAGCTTGACCACCATCTGCTGCACGATAGTGCTTAGTGACCAGGATACCTTACGAGGAAACTTTACCTGTTTCTATATTCTTTAGCGCTTCTTGAAAAATTTTGTTTCTTTCTGCTTCTAACTCGAGCCATTCTGAATCTTAGAGTGAAAAGTAATGAACACTTTGTCTTTAGAATATGTTCACACGACGGCTGACAAAAATTCCCCCAGTTCCATTTTTTACACAGAAATTCATTCGTACGGCTATCACTGTAGCCTGCTAACAGGCTCTCTTTGAACTCCCTTTGAAATTTGAGAGAGAGCTGCTACTATCACTATCACTGTACCTGTCATGTTAGAAATATTGTTTTTTACAGCTTTTACTCTATTGACACCACGCCAAGCCAAAGCATTCCAGGCATCTGCCGAGTTGGCAAGATCTTCTGACAAACTAAAACGGAATCAAATCTCTAAATCAAATGGAACGCGGTGCCTTATTGGATTCTACATTATATGTTACAATTCCCATAGTGATATCTTTCTTTCATCTGTGATTTTCCTAATCGTGGTTAAGTTATTCTGACCATTCACCTTTGATAGACCTCATCAATTCCTTCTTCCCAATCATCAGAGAGATAATATATGTTGATGAACTTCAAACGAAATTCAACATCATCTGTGAAACGTTCAGTACAATTAAGACTCAATAAGAAAAAAACATATGCGCATATCAACGTCATTAACTTGGTAAGGATTTATGCAGAAAATAAAAAAACTCCATGTACCCGGGATATTTTGTATTGCATTCTTGTAAACAATTCTCGCAGTTTTCCCAGATATGAAGTCACTGGATGTTGGTTCTTCAGCATCCTAGAACAGTTGGTTAGGAAAGTTTAAGGACAACGAGGATTACTTAATAGAAAAAGTGGAGTTAGGTGAAGTGGGGCTAATTAGAGGGTTAATTGGAGGGCTAATTAAGCCCCGTTTACACTACGCTCAATTTTTGGTACGGCACGGATAAAATTGGTACCCGTACCCCTTTTTTGGTTCTTGGACTACCTATTTAGGTAGTCCAAGAACCAAAAAGTGGTACGGTACCAAAAGTTGAGCATAGTGTAAACAGGGCTTAGCTAAATAGGTAGTCCAAGAACCAAAAAAGTGGTACGGGTACCAATTTTATTCGTGCCGTACCAAAAATTGAGCGTAGTGTAAACGGGGCTTTATAAGACTAATTAGAAAGGTAATTAGAGGGCTAATTAGAAGGTTAATTAGAGGGCTAATTACAAGACTAATCAGAAGGGTAATCAGAAGGGTAATTAGAGGGCTAATTAGAAGGCTAATTAGAGAGCTAATTAGAAGACTAATTAAGTAATTACAGGGCCAATTAGAGAAAGCTTTATAGCTTATTAGAAAAATGTGGCTAAGGAGCTCATTTAATAGAGGACATGGAGAGGCAGTCAATGAGTCAATGGAAAAAAATGGTATTTAACAGAAAGAATGAGAATTACATGTAATTGAAAGAGCATATGGTACTTTGGTAAAAAGAAGGATTGTAACTGTTGTCTCTGTCTCAAGATTTCTCACCTCTTCATTACCAGCATCCACTCCTAACAACTTTCTTCTTTTCTTAACCTGGGGACAAAAAATGAAATACTTCACAGCAATGAAAAAAATAATACACATTTTTATAAAATATGAACAAACCTTGTCAACATACAACAATTCCAATCTAAAATACTGAAAGAAATGGAAACATATCTTACAACATAAAATCTTTGACTGAATACAAAAAAGTAAAAAAGCTAAAATAATGTTGAGACTAACCTCTAACCAAAGATTGCTGCATTTTGGATTTAATCGCAAGGCTCTTTGCAACAAAGTCCTAAATGTTCAAAAGGAACGATGGAATAAATTACTGAAATAATACTGGAGTAAATACTAAAAATTGAAATGTACAAAAGAATCTTAACCTTGCTGTTTTTATGTTGTTTCTATCTTCAAATTCGTATTTTGCTGCCGTTATCCACAAGCCTGTCAAAGTTTGTTTTTTTAATTATTACAATACGTATTATAATGAAGAAAAGAACATTGAATTTGGTGGATACTAACTCCCAGATGAAAGGTCTTTGCTTAACTCTTCAAGTGGCAATGTACCCTGATGGAACTTACTTGTGTTGTTAGGATGGGCTTGTAACATCCTTCCAACAACCCGTCCTAACGCTGTGATGCTACCCTGATAACGCAGAAAACAATTCAATATAATCAGCAGCCACTCAATCAATAGATCAATCACTCAATTAGATATACAGTATTTCCTCTATTTACCCCCCTGATGGCTCATTTTTTCTAGTGGTTCTAAACTGGATGCTTATTAGAAGGGGGTTAAATAATAAAAGATGAAAATACAGTACGTAACATTTTCAAATAAATATTTATTACAACTCACCACTTGTTTGCAAAATTCAATATATTGTAACCATAATTTGACATCACTTGAAAATTTCTTAAGCGCAGACTAAATTTTTAAAAATTTCCATTTTAGGATAACAGAGCAATTGACTTGTGCATGTTCCTAAGCAACAGTAAAAACCTAACCAAGGTGCACTAACTTACTTGAAACAATAAATGTAGTCTTTTAATGAAAACAGCTTCACCAGGAAGAATTTTTTGCTGAATTGCATGTTGCTACAAATATAAAACTACAATTAATAGAGTAACATTCTATTGAATTTGAAGGATGATGAATAGTTGTGTGGGTTTTTAAATGTTTTACAGTCTTGAAGCCTTTACCTTTTTACGTCTCTTTCGTAAAAGATCCAAGTTTAGTTCATACTGCAATAAAAAAAACAATGAAAATTGGTTAGTATGACACACATTTATGCCTGGTGCCATATGCACCAGAAGGGGGGGTTCCGATCTCAGCAAAATAATTTTTCCGGAAAAAATTTTTCGGTACTAGTCGGGCACAATCATGAAAAGTCGGGCAATTTTCTTTCTGCCCCCCTAATTTTTTTATTTCCGGTACGCACATGCAATTTTAATTAATTTAATTTGCTGCATGCTTGTGGGTTTATAAACTATCAACACAATCAATTTCTAAAGAAATGAATGATGAGTTGAAATTGGCATAGCCAGCAAAATACAGATATGTCTGTTTACCCAGGGGGGGGGGGGGGGGTAAAAATAAAACTATAAATTTCAAACTCACCTGAATATAACGAAGAAAATCAGCCTCCTGAACTATTCTTTTTTGTAATTTATATTCAAATGCTGTTCTCCTTTTCACAATACATCTAGTTTTAAAAATGGTAGTAATGAAAAGCCTAGTTCAAATGAGGAATATCAAGGATGGGTCCGATGACAGTTGATGAGAGACACTTGCCTGCCAACTCTCATCAACTCCATCTATCTTGGATCTAGTTCAAATGTTGGTAAAATCCAGTTTTATTGACCAGGACAACTTTAATAATTCATGAATTGAAAATTTCAATTTTGATATTTATTTAATTCTTACTTTATTTCGTCTTTGGTGAATAATTCCAACCTCTCCATTTCTTCCAACTCTGGAAGCATGCCCTCCACATTTTGAAATACATATTCAGCCATTGTAAATCTTGATATTTCTACTTCAAAATTTACGATAAATTTTCACTCATCAACAATCCGCCATTTTTTCATAAAAAATTCCTGCAACACGTGCAAACCGCGCGAAGACTGGAGAGCAGCAGAAAAATTCGACTCCCCCCCGCTCCCATCGGTATTTTTCCAACCCCCCCCCCCACAAATTATCATATGTG